TTTTATAACTTTTTTGACAGATACTGATCAATTAAGGGAAAAGATAAAAGATATAGAGACACAGCTCAAAACTTCAGATCTAGAAAAGCAGCATTTGAAGGTAATTAAATATTTAATTACATCTGACTTTAGAACTATAAATGTTTTAGGAAAACAGCCATTGAAAACTATTTTTACCATCACCATCCTTGAGTGTAAAGTATACATTCCAAAAATTCCTATAATTAAATTTCATATTTAAAATATTTGATCTTGATATGCAAGGTTCATTACGTTCATCATTCTATCATTCAGAGGGTTGCTATGAGTCGGCACCAACTCGATGGCACCTAATAAGAACGTGTGAAAAATATCAAACAAAAGCTACAAAACATGCAGACAAAACAAACAGGAAAGACTAAAGAGTAAATTTATTTCTTAACACAAAAACAGTTCATTATTTTAATATTTTCTTAAGTTTTGGGTCACACTGGGAACAGTGTTTTTTTAGTTAGTACCTTTTGAGATTGTTCTCAAGGATTTTCTCTTACTGCTTTTAAGACTTTGTAAACAGAAGGGCATGAATAATAGAATTAGCTAGCGATCACTGGCTATTCTAAGTAGTCTTTAAAGCTCAAATTATACCTTTACTCAGATGCCTAACTTGTACTTAGACAGAAGCCCTGGACTGCCCTAATTATATTTGCAAGAAGGGGATCATTACTCATTAACAGTTGTATATTTGTAAATATAAATGAAGCCAAAACCAAAAATTTTAACCAAAATAACTTTAATGCTATGAACAGCCAAGTGTTTTTGATTGCCTCACCGAGAGTACTTAGTGTGCTTTTGGAGAAAGATAAAGTTCTACTACAATCTAAAAAAATTAACAAATTTTAGTCAGAAAGTGGATTATAACGTATGGAACAAATAATATGATTTGACAGCTAACAAGTCAGTCATATATATTGTACAATGTAATCTTTTTAACAAAATCTTAAGAAAATACTTCTGCATTTATATTTGATTTTATTCAGGTTGCTGGGGCTATCATGTTTATAATTAAATCTCTCTAGTCTAAACCTAGAAAATGTATTATATTCCTGTGCACCTTTTAATGTTTCTATTAGGAACAAATAAAAAAACTGAAAAAAGAACTGGAAAATTTTGATCCTTCATTTTTTGAAGAAATTGAAGATCTGAAGTATAATTACAAGGAAGAAGTAAAAAAAAATATTCTCTTAGAAGAGAAGTTAAAAAAACTTTCTGAACAGTTTGGAGTTGAATTTACTAGTCCTGTTAATGCTTCTGAAAAGCTTGAAGATGAAGAGGAAAGTCCTGTTAATTTCCCCATTTATTAATGGCCACCTATATTTATAATAAATGTAAAGTTAACTGTAAAGTTTGTAAGTTAAAATTCCATCTGGAAATCAAGCAAGTCTCTGAACTGCAGCATTTCCTTCTCCCTACCTTGTACCTTTTACCCAAATTGTAGTTTTTAGTAAATAAAATTATATGAAATTCTTAACTCATTAGGAGAGTATATTTTTGAAATCTTTGAATAAGTTATGATTACCAAATAGGCAATAAGCTGTGGTGAGTTGCTATATATTCATAAGGTTTTAAGTTTTTTAAAAGAGATTCTGACATTTTAACATTTAAAGCTGGGATTTTATAGTTTTATACTTATTTATATGTGCTAAGATTGAATTCAAAATATGATAAAATATGTAGGTTATGAGGTTGAGCCATGTTTTGTTAAATGTCTATAAAGATTAAACTGAGCTTAACCTATTTGATTTTGAAAATAAATGATCCAAAATTGTTGCCTTAATTGTTGTCTTTAAATGACTACCCAGTTCTAGTGGACAGTTCAGCCTTTGAACAAGCTTGGAAGCTCACTATAATTTACATTTTTCAGTCTAGAGTTTAAAATCAGTTGCTGATTCTGAA